ACAGTTCAAGGAAAGCAGTTCAATGAAGAGAGTTTTATAAACACAGATTTAGAGCCAATCCAGAGCACAGCAATCGAGAGCTTTCTCCTTGCTTCCAGAGAGCAGAAGACAATGCTCAAGGCTCAGGTGGCTTTCTTTGGTTTGTGTGTGTGAGTGTTTGTTTGTTTTTAATCCTCACCCAGGAATGTTTATTCTATCTCTCTCTCTCTCTTTTTTTTTATATAACCCTCCCTCGCCTTCCATCTGAGACTTTGTACTCTGTTCCAAGCTTCCAGGTCTCTGGATCCACTCCATTCTTCAGTTAATTTTGTTATTGAGGTTCCATCTATGTGTGAGATCAAGTGATGTTTTTCTTTCTCTGACTCACTTATTTCACTTAGCACGATGCTCTCTGGGTCCCTCCATGCTGTGTTAAAGTGTAAGAGATCCTTCTTTTTTACCGCTGCGTACCATTCCATGGTATAAATGTACCACAGCTTTTTTACCCACTCATCTACTGATGGGCACTTGGGCTGTTTTTAAATCTTAACTATTGTAAATCGTGCTGCTATGAACATAGCGGTGCATACATTCTTTCTGATTGTTGTTTCAGGTTTCTTAGGATATATTTTTAGAAGTGTGATCACAGGGTCAAATGGCAGTTCCATATTTAATTTTTTGAGGAAACTCCCTATGTTTTCCATAATGTCTGCATCAGTCTGCATTCCTACCAGCAGTGTACTAGGTAGGGTTCCCCTTTTTCCACTTCATCGCCAGCACTTGTCCTTTGTTGATGGTAGTCATTCTGACAGTTGGGAGGTGGGATCTAATTGTTGCTTTAATTTGCATCTCTCTGATGATCAGTGTCTTTGAGCATTTTGTCACATGTCTCTTGGCCATGTTATCCACACTGCAGCCCAGACAGAGCTGACACTTCTAATGGCCCCAGAAGCAGATGCTCTTAAATAGTGATGTCTGTTTTGAGACATTAACTTCGTTCAGTGGAGGCAGGTTAGATGAGTTAGACACTTGAGCAACCTCTGCAAGCTACATTTAGCCTGAAGGAGACAGATGCCTAATGGCCCAAAAGAAGACACAATGCCTGTCATTCAGAAAAGAGGAGGTCCTGAAGAAAGATATGCAAAACCAGCAGCTAAAGGAAGCCAGGCAGGTGCCTCAGAAACAAACTTGCCCTAGAAATCCCCTCCCCTGAAGGCACTGGAGGGTCCTGAGTATACTTGGTGTTTTCTTGTGCTATTTGCCCTCAAAACCAGTCCTGGAGTCAGCTGAGGAAATACGGGATCCTGGCCATGGAGCGTAGGAACTACATTACCCAGAAGGACAGGCGTGGAATGCCACCCAGCTGAGCGAATGGGAGCTCAGAAAGGGCGTTTCCGTTTTTCAAGTTCGGGTGGGCGGGACCGGTAGTCTTCTGCATTTTGTCTCAAGCTGTCGGTCGGGATTACCAGGTCTCAGAGTCCAGAATTGAGGGCTGTAGAGGGCTTTTCCCCGCCCCACAGCCAATGGTCGGAGCCTCCAGTGGTGCTCACAGCTCACACTTGGGATTGAAGTTTGGAGTCGCCACCAGACCCGCTCAGGGCGGGGACAGGGACCGCCATTCCTGCAGCGGCTTCTACTCCCGCCCCGCTCAGCCCACAGAGGGCAATGGCGGCGCCCCCGCTGAGGAGACGGGCTGAGGTGAGTCGAGTCCCCCAGGCCCTCACCGCCTCCTCACACAGACACCACAGCCTGGGGAGGGCGCCTGTCCCGTCCTGCAGCTCAGTCCCGCGTGGAGGACCGTGAGGAAGGTGGAGGGGAGAGAGGAGTGTTGTGGCTTCTGAGGACACAGCAAGTGCAGGGCAGAGAGGACGGGGGGTGACTTGCACTGAAGGTCCCTGAGGATGTGGCTGTGAGTATTGACGGAAAGATCAGAGGCTGCAGGGAGGACGTCACAGACTCATTCGGGGCTTTCCCGGCTGTGAGTCCATCAGGGGCCTGGGGTGGGCTTGGATCCGGCTGGACTACAAGCTCTCTACACGCCATATGCCAAGTTCATGGGTGAGTCCAGCGAGATCCAGTGGCATTGGAGCAGGGAGGGGGCAGAGCTGAGGAAGTGAACCTGGGGAATGAACATGGGAAGGGGTTGAACATTACACAGTGGTGAGCACATCTGGAGGAAGTGTGAGCTGATGGTCCCCGGGACCTGATGTGGGAACTTAAAGGTGAAGCATAAACCCACACTTGGCTTTGTCTTGGAGGCAGGATCTAGGAGACTGCAGTGGTGTTGCTTGGCTACAAGGCTGGGGCCCTGCAGGCATTGCCCAAACCTTAAATGGGACTAAACGCACAAAAAACTGGGCATGTGCCCTTGAGTGGAATGGAACCTTGGACCTTTCAGTGGACAGGCTGACACTCTATCCACTGAGCAAACCAGCTAGGGCTGACACTTCCTTTATTTATTTATGTATTTATTTATTTAGTTAGTTATTATTAACCCTTGTTTTTGCCCTTAGTTATCTTCAAATATGTTTGCTCACCCAGTTTCCTGTCATCCTTTCTATGCAGTTGTCCTTATTTGATATTATTCTGTATTACTGTTTGTCTTCATGGTACTCTTATTCCCATTCATCACAGTGAGTAATGGGACTGTGATGAGAGAGCAGCTTGCACTGGCATTAGGGCCTGGTGTCCACTCTAACCCGGTGCCCTGGAGGAGGTTGAGGGTGGGGAAGTGTTGGGAATCCCAGCAGGTCCAGGGGTTCCCAAAGGTGTGGACAGAGTCAGCGAAGAAGGAATTACAGGGAGACAGCATTCAGTTGATCAGCATAGCCAGGTTCTCTCTTTTTCTCTCCTTTATTGTCCTGTTACAACTGTATTTATAAGCATGATATAATGGTATGTTTTGGGTCTTCCCTTGGCCTTCTACAGTTCCTAGTTTCATGCCCATAGTTTCTTATCTGACCTTTGGTTCTTCCCCAATACCACGTGTGGGCGCGCATGTAGAGCGATTGAAACTTTGTGGCCCATGCGTGAAGCTATGGCTCAACTTGGATTTAAGAGGCAAAATCTTTTGTGCATCACAGGAGAAACATGACTTTATCAATGACAGGGTAGACCCAGAGGCAGTCTTGCCTTGATGAAGGACTCTGGGGGCGGTTTTCATGCCTGGGCGCTCTTAGGTTCATAACTAGGAAGCCATTTTGATCAACAGTGTTTTGTTACCATTGCCCATTCCTCACCCAATTCTTCTTTTTCCTTAATGTTGACACTTTTCACTTTTAGTAGTGATCATTCTACTCGGATTCCCAGCCCATGGATATCCTTAACCTCTTTAAACTTTGCACCTTTCATAAGTAGTACATGGTATTTCTGCAACACGAGGGGGTTTTACTGATTCATTCCCCTTCCCAGTTCCATTTGCAGAGCCTTAGAGTGCACACGTATTATATTGATGCTGAACATCACGTGCTTTACTATATTTACATTTTATGGGTTTGAACACATTAAAATATTTTACACAGACTCATATCGCCAGCATGAAAGGTCCTAAAGGAAGCCATTTGTGGACTAATAACAAGCAGACCCTGCCTCTCATCTTTTTGTGCCAGCCCATGCTTCTGTCCTCACTTGGTGAGGGAAGATGGGTAAGGATTGAATTACTGGTTCTCAGAAAGGCAGGTCTGGTTTCAATTCTCTTGATTCTAACAGGTTGGCGTGACCTTTGAGGACATTGCCCTGTACTTCTCCAGGGAGGAATGGAGCCTCCTTGATGAGGGTCAGAGACAGCTGTACCTGAATGTGATGCTGGAGAACTTTGAACTTATATCCTCGCTGGGTAAGACCCTCACTGTCACAGTGACCTGGACTTGGCTTTGCCATTTCCCAGGCCCTATCCCCCAGGGTGTGCTCTGTCCTCCCATGTAGACTGTGGTACTGATTGATTTTCCAGTTTCCAGGGTAGTTGCTGTCCTGGTGGAGGGTTGGTTCCGCTGCTCCCTTCTATTCCTGAAGTCCCAATACTCCTGGGAAACATTTTCCACATGATGGAGGGGCAAGGAACACAGCACGGACAGATACTGTTGAAGTGTGGGGCATGTGCAAAACGATTTTATTTCCTTGCAATATTTCACCAGCAGCATGTGAGAGAGAAGACTTTCATTAGAGGTGTGAACAAAATCTCAGTTTCAAACAGCTGCAGTTTCAATGTGTCCCAGAATCACTGTCTACACATCCTAATCCTGTTTATTAACTATATTTTTTATTACCATCTTTCGAATACCTTGTATATTTTATATATTTATTGCTTACCACATACAGGAACACATATTTTTCCATGTGCTTAATAGTTCTTTGCAGATATTACTCTCCCACAGCAGTTTTTCTACAAAGTCCATGGTTTTGGCAACCCTGCGTTCAGCAGGTCTAGTGCCACCAGTGTGCAATGACATTTCAAAGGAGAAAAAATTATTCCAGCAGAAAAGAATGTAAGAAAGAAATTAGTTGCAATCACACGTTTATTCAGGGAAAAGGTGTCCATCTTGGAAGTGGGTGTTGTGTGTGCTCTGAATGTGGAAATCAGAGTCACTGCTGTGTTATTAGCCTGCAGTAGAGTATTAACATACCTTGATTATTTCTGGGAAACTGCAACTATTTGTGTGAATTTCTGTCTATATCACAATATTCGCTTTATTGTGCTGATCATAGCCGAATCCACAATATCTCCAAAGGACTCCTTCATATGCTTCGCAAGTATTTTCTTCTGTTCTCTAGATTGCCTTTCATTTAATTTTGTTTACTGCTATTGTGCAGTGAAGACGCTATTTTTTTT